GTCGAAATTACATGCATTTCCAAATTTATCAATGAAAATTTATTTTCTCGGCAATTAAATGTTTATGAATTAAAGTAGCTTTTAAAGAACCCAAGAGCGTTTGGATGAGATGGTTTGGGTCTCTTCCAACTTAACTAATGGTCTCGTGTTCGAGCCCTGAGAATGCAGCAGTGTTAAAACTCTTGAGGGAGAGCTTTGCCGCCCTTGTGGTCCTACCCGGCTCGATTCCGGATTAGTCGGTTCCCTTGTGGATCCGGAAAGCGAAAGGTCCCTGTACCAAAAAAAAGTAGCTTTTAAAGAAAAATCCATCGTAATTATCCGAATCTCTCAAAATTAAATGCACTCCAGATTTCACTTATCATAATTTAATTAAAGAAACATACATTTCAGATTTTACTTGTTGGAATTTAAAGAATATATACATGTCAATTTGGTCCCAACCCAACGAATCAAAATATTTCATTAAAAATGTCATACTTTAAAATACATTATAATAAAAGCATAACAAAATATGAAATTTGATAGTATAGCTTTAGTGTTGTTAGGCTCGACTCATTTGACAAACGAGCCCAACTCGAGCTCATTTACAGCTCGTTTGGTTGGAGTTCGGCTCGAAAAGAGAATTTTTATATAATTTTCAATAGTTTGACTCGTTAAAGCTCGAGATTGGTCGTAAAGGCCCGAACTCATTTCGTTATTAGTGATAAATAAGCCGAGCCCAAACTCGATATTAGGCTCATTTATTTTAAGAGTCGAGCTTATCTCGGCTCATTTACAGGCCTAAGTATAAGTATGCACCCGATCCATCCAATAGTTTGACTGTCTCACACAAGAATTTGTCATTCGATACTATTAAACCCTAACTTGATGTATTAATGTGACCCAGGGGCGTAGGCAGGATTTTTTTTAACCTGGGGCTGCATATTATTGTAGCTATTATTGGAATCGAGTAGACATGGTCATAGGCCGACCCAGCCTGTCGGCTCGGCCCGAACAGACACAACTCGACTCGTTGATCATGGGTCTTGAACAGGCCCGTAGTTTTAAACAGACACAACCCAACTCGATGATCATGGGTCAATGAACCGGCCCGTGGATATGTTTGTGCTGATTCAGGGCCCTCCAATTCTCAGCCCGAGATTGGCGGTTTCGACCGGTAACCCATTTTGGTTATGACTAGAATTAAATTATCTGTTAACATATGTCAGTTTGAATTGAGAAAACTCAACATCGACTCGCTTATATATTTAAACAAGTCAAACTGAAATAGGTAATCGAACTTGTCGATCAAACAAATAGAGTCGAACATGTCTGCAATCAACTCTGTAATAGTTTTTTCTTTGTCTACGAAATGAGGCCGAATTAATTATTGAAGGCGAAAAAAAAAAACAAATAAAAATGGATAACAAAATGTGCAATGGGACGAACCCAATTAAATAGTCTGCAGGAGAAGTGTGTGTCAAGTTTCATTATCCAGCACATTTGGTACTTATCAAGTCAGCCCAATAATTAAAAAGTTAAAAGGCAAAAGTGTGTTGGGCCACATTATAAACTCAATTGATAAAAAATCTAGCAAAAGTGTGGTGGGTACGGCCTTTACCGGGTTGGGTGAAGCTGAACTCCGATGGCTCTTTCAACGGGGTGTCGGGCTTAGGCAGTGCGGGTGGCCTTTTACGGGATGAGAATGGGAATTGGCTTGGGGGCTTCACAGTGAATATCGGCTATTGCTCGATTATGGTAGCAGAATTATGGGGGCTCTTTCGGGGTCTTTCCTTGGCCTGGGACCTGGGATATAGGCAGGTTGAAGCTGAAGTTGATAATGCCAGTGTGGTGAGTTTCGCGGAGTCGTTGGGTGATGTCTCGGGAGTGCATTCGGGCCTTATTAGGGGAATTAAAGACTTAATGTGTCGCTCTTGGCAAGTTAAGGTGAAACACGTGTATCGCGAGGCGAATTTTGCAGTCGACTTCATGGCTTCCTTCGCTGCGGAGGGTCCGATGGGATATCAGTCGTTTAGTGTGCCCCCTTCGGGGGTCCGACAGTGGTTGCACCATGATGTGATTGGTGTGTCATACTCACGTAACGTGGGTGATTAGAAATCATGAGGCTTTAGCCTCTTTCTTTGTACCAAAAAAAAAAAAAAAAAAAAAAAA